GGCGCCGCCCCAGCTCCGGGCTAGGCCAGGAGGCCAGCTGTGGCCCGAGGGCCGGCCTGGGCGGCTGAGCCAGCGCTCCACTTTCTACTTGGTCAAGTTCCTCGTTCATTTCAGCCCGGGGCATCGCGCTTCCTTCACAGGCCGGAAGCGAATCCTGCAGCCTTTTAAAAGGCAGCCTCTAGAAGACAGCACCTTTTCTATGGCTTCTCCTTCATTTGTAGGACGACTTATGTCTGTTCATCTGAAAGAACTACAAGTTTGAGGCCTACAGATAAGAGAAAAACTTTGCAGCTAGTGAAAGTTTTTAATGTATATGTTTTTCCCCCTCAGCTACTTTTCTGGAAACGCTTAACCTTCCTAAACAACATTCTGGTCTACAAGCGACCTAAAAATTGGTTAACAATAGTAAGTAGTTTTAAGTCCAGGAAAGTAGGCTGTGTTTAAAGTTTATATCCTTTAGGTTATTTTCCTGTAGAATAACTTTTTCAAGTGTTTGACTTGACCATTCTGAATTGGACTAAACCTTGGAATTTTAGCATGTATGTTGCAAACTTTTGGGCCATTTTGCGCTGAAATTTTCTATATCCAGTCATCCCACTGTACTTTAAAATATAGTCCCCACAAGAACATAAAATATTAGCGTTTTGTTGTTGCATAAAAGTAAGCATTAAATGCAGGCATTGCTGAAAACCTTTGAACAGTTTTTGTATCAGTGGCAAGGAAATTCATATATACATTGGTTGTTTCTCTTTGAACTTTTTCAATTCCATGTAATTTTCATATCTTACCTGAGTTCAAATGTGAATGAACATATTTAGTTATTAACTGCAGCAGTGCCAAAGAGCACTGAAACCTTAATGTCCATGAGAATCATTTGGGCTCTTGGTAAAAATGCAGCTTCTAATTTAGTAGTTTGGTGATATACCTTGATGTGCTGCAGGAAAAGAAAACCCTTTCAGTACCGGGGATATAAGTAACTTCTGTGCTAAGAAATAACGTAGTAAACTGTATAAGTGAACATATTCCTGTTAGTGTTCCTTTTAGCTGTAGAGGTGTTTTAGCAAAAGAGTCAGTTGGCAGAGTGAACTGAGAAATCTTTCCTAGGGAAATCCATTATACAGAATGGGCCAAGAGTGTGTGTGTGGTAGTGAAGGGAATAGGAGGAGTGCAAATACCTTGTCTGTAAACTGTGTGTTGTCGGCGTTGTCTGGCCTATAATTTTTCCTACAGAAATAAATACTAGGATATTTCTAGCTGAAAGACGTGCTTTTCTATAAGTAATGGGGTTTTATCAACATTCATACAGGCAAGTAATCCTGTGTATCTGAATATGCTGCTGGATGAGAATTTCTTTTGTTGATAGAAATATTGAGAGTGTTTTCAATGCTACACTTGCAGCCTTAGTTGGCTCTTGAATTCTGAAGCTTTGGAAGCTTTTTTTTTTTTTTTTTTTTTTTGGGGTACCAGGGATTGAACTTGGGTCCTTGCACTTGCAAGGCAGGCCCCCGAACTGCTGAGCTAAATCCCTGACCCCTGGAAGCAAATTTTTAAACAGTTGAGTCACTCTTACTGAGGGCATGCTAACTGGATTCAGATATTTTCTAAGGTAATTTTTATCATGTTAATTAGAGTTTAAAGTGTCATTTATAAACTCATGTACATAAATATGGTTGTACTTTTTTCTTTAATGGTGGGGATTGAACCTATGACCTTGGGTATACTGAATACTTAGGTTTTTAAGAGTTTTATGGAAGTATGATAGCAACTGCTCTCAAACATTTTTATAGTCTTCATTCTAGTCATTACCATTGTTTGTTCATGTTTTAAAATAGTATGTATAACAGCATCTTTTGAAACACTTAGTGCCAGGCACTGTTCTAGGAACTCTGCATCTCAACACATTTAGTTTTCAACCTTTAAGGAAAATGAAGCAGAGTGGGAGAGGCCACCTACTATATCTGGGTTTACACGAATAAGGGAGAGCTGGTATTCTGATTTGTTGACTACAGTTTGTCTGTATGCTACCTTGTTTAAATCAGTAATACCTCTTTAAATCCTTTTTTTCTCTGGTAGTGTTGAAAATTATAAGCTTTACTTTTCATTTTTAAAAAGTAAAAATTTTTCTTTTATATCCTCAATTTTATTCTATTCTAGAATGAAACCTTTAATAGTCTTTTCTGAATAAGATATTGAAATCTTAAAAATTGTATTTTGCTTGGCCACATTTGCTGGATCAATCTGAATTTGTCACTGTTAAATATACTTCATTTTGATTCTCTGAGTTTCTCAGTCTTTCATGTCCTCCTTAGTCCTTCATGTCCTGCAAACTGCTCCTCCAAGCCCTCTCCCCAGACATGGTAGGTTTAGTTTGTACTTGCTATCCTAATATTTAAGTTTAGGGGTTCGCTGAGTTTTTCTATAATTATTACTCTAAATTTGTTAACACTTAGGTTTAGGGGTTGCCTATATTATTGACCTTTTATTTGGTCAGTACGAACAATAAAAACTAAACATTGGTCATTGTCATATTTTAATACTATAAAAGCAAAGACAACCCTATAATAAAGAATTAATTTTTAAGTTGAATAATATATCATCCTTCCTTTAACTCTTTCCATGTAATTTCTTATTTCTATAGAAGTCTGAGAAGTGCTTTTGTATCTGATCTAAGACATTTCTCTGAACATTGGGAAATTACTAGAATGGTAGTATGTATAGTGTGTTTACTAGAACTTGAGAAGTATGAGTGGTGAGTTTGGTAAGCAGTGAGGGAGAAGGGAGAGGGAGGGTCTGTGGACTGCTTGGGTAACAGTAAGTTGCCGTGGAAGTCAGTGTAACATCTCAGGCATAAATGCCTCCTCAAAAACATTATTTAGGAAAATGTCTACCATTCTACAAATGTCATGCAAACATTTAAAAATAGTGCCCATATAATGGTTTATTGACATTGAACATAACATATTTTGAACTGTAAGAAGAGGCTAAGAGGTTATTCTCAGAATTGCCCAAATTCTTGCTTATTCTTTCAGTATTAGAGTGTGTTTTGTTGAAATCTTTGCTGCATACTCACTTGCTGGCTTTCCCATTTCTTACCCTGATGCTCTGCTTTGGAGGACATGGTATGTCTGCCTTTGCTGCATGTGCCAATAAGGGAAGCTTTCTAATTTATATTTGCACTTATAATTTTAGCATTTTGTTTTTTACAAATTCTGTATTACTGTGGTACTTTTGATTGTTAGGATGTACTTCTTTTACTTACTAAAAAAATTACTGTGAAACAGTATGCTCTATTATTCCAGCAGCAGCTTCATATACTTCATGTTTATCGTGTCTTTTAATAAGGAGGCCATATTGAACGACTGACCTGTACCATCTAGGTTCATGTAAATACTCTTTACAATGTTTTTGTTGTTGTTGTTTTTTAGACAAAGTCTTGCTCTGTAGTACAGGCTAGCCTCAAATTTGTGTCCTTCCTCAGATTCCAGGTGTTGGGATTACAGGCATGTGCCACCATGTCCACATTATAATGTTTTTTGCAGGGATTCGATCGTCTAGTGACACATTTCTCAAAATATAAATGTCGTTAAGCTAGCCATGACTGTACCCACACTGTTGGAAACCTCTAAGTTCTCTTTAGGTCTGTCTCATCTTGAGAGATGCTGAAACAAATGCCAGTTTTGTACTGTAAGTATTAGTTTAGAAAGCTGAGTAACAACTATTCATTAGCAGGTGTGTTTTATTTTCTAGAGTTAATAGTTTTTGTCCCTGGGAAAAAAAGGTACAAAATCTTAAGAATAATTAGATGATTGAAAAGTAAACCTTTGTTTTTGTTTTGTTTGTTTTGCTACCAGTGATCAAACTTCGGACCTTGCAGTTGCAAGGTTGGCGGAGGCACCACTGAGCAAAATCCCAGAGCTGTCTTTGATGTGACTACCCTGTATAAAAGGAATAATTCCCACTTTCTGAGATGGAGTTAGGATGCTACATTGTTGGAACACAGAGCCTAAGTCCTAGGTTCAGGATGTAAAGCTGTGCAAACTGATAATAGCTAGTGGAAGTTAGAATAAATCTGGTTTCCTAGGACCTTTGGAAGAATGTGCCAGCAGCTACCTGGTAGAAATCCAAGAGAAGTTACTAATAATACAGCTCTTCCTGTTTTTGGGGGAGATGGCAGATTGATTGCCCTAAATATTAGGTGGATTTTGGGGAATAGAGTTGGAGAGGTAACATTAATGAGATGTGTAGGTGGTACCAATCTTTCTGTCTTTGTCTATTGCATTTATGAAACAAGGCTTCTTTTACTTCCATGAGGTGCAGAGTCTTATAAGAATTTTGATTAGTAGATGTGAGTGGCTTAGGGGGGTGGGATAAATTGCTTCCTTACCCACTTTTCATTTCTCTTAAATAGTGTAGGGGTTAATTTTAGTTGTTTTTCTTTTTTTTTTTTTATCCTGTAGGGTGTGAGTGAATACACATACCTTTTAAGAAAAAAATCCAACATAAATACTGTTTTGATGCTTGCATTTGTTTTACATTTAATATGTTGTCATCACATTTCCACATAACTTAGTGGCTAGATTCATACTACTGCATTGTATGTCTGTCCTTATATAAGTGGTCCTTTATTTTTAGACACCTAGATTGCTTTGAATTTTTCTGACAAATATTGCTACAAT